TGTTTTGATCAAGCAACTTCTCTATTGGGTTGCTTGAATCAAAATTGAGGCTCTGTGCAAGTTTCCCGTGTTGAAAAACTAGGAAAATAAGTTTCCCTAGTTCAGACAATTTGATCGGTCTGATCGACCAGTTCATGAAGGATAGGTCAACCGGTGAGTTATAACTTCTCTTTCACTGGTCGACCGACTGTAACGTGTAACACATGCTGACGTGGCGAAATCGACTATATAAGCGAGACAAACTTTGGAAAACCTAATTGTTACGAAAATATGACTTCCTAAACACTATAAATAGCCCAGTAAGTCACATTATTCATTAGATCACTTGAGAGACTTTTTGGGGGCTATTGGCAATAGATTCCTGAGAGGAAAAATTGTTTAATTCTCAAGAACGATTTTTCCTTTGGCTCTCTTGTGGTTGGAAGGAGTTCAAGAATATCAAGAGGAGATTGAACGACGTTTGCCCACCCGCACTCCGATTGTGAAAACTAAAATAACAAAGAAGACCAGTTGGTTGAGGCATTTCCGGTTTCTGTTTTGAACGCTTTGATCTGTCAAACGTGCTGTTTTCTAAATCTCTAAAGGTATTATTTAGATCTTTAGTATTTATGTTATATAACATCATGAACATGTTCTTGGTTGGCTTTGGCATTGATTTAAATTTTTAAAATTCCGTTGCGCACTCGATGCCGTAATTTTCCAACTTAATAAACAATGATTTATTGATAAATCGGTTTATCATTCATATATCGATAAATTAGTTATTGAACTTGATTTATTATTAATTGACAACTAAATCAATCAGTGATAAATCGGTTTTCATTGTTGAACAAGCTATTTTCTTGATTTTATAAAATGTAGTCATTTAGGGTCCGTTAGGTTTATAGGTTCGAACCATTAGCTGAAACTTTTAAAATTCTTTTGTAAGAAAAAAAACTATAACAGAATCAAAACCATGAGTTTAAATTCATGAACCAAACAAGACCTTACTAAAACATAGCTTATAAGACGACCATCACACAACTAACAACAAACAATTAATTAGGTGAGCACCCTTATTCATCCCAATACGATTAAAACCCACTACTCACATGAAGTGGGTCCCGTTAGGTAGATATGTGAGACCCACCACTTTGAGTGTGGGGTTTTGTAATCAAGCTCTGCTATTCCGTTTTCCTAGCTCGGTGACTGTCACTCAAATTAAATTTTGACACATCGTAAACTGTTTAAGTATTTTTAGGGTATGTTCATTGCACAACTCAAATCACGACTTGAGTTATGTATATGAGAGAAAAAGACTCTAGTAAAAAAGTTGAATTTCAATTTTTATGAGAGAAAACACCATAACAATATACTTGAGTCATGAAATGCACAAGGGCTTAGTATTTTGTCCTATTTATGCGGTCAGATTCCTAAATTTAGATGATATGAAAAATAATTAGTGCAAGCACGGCCACCAAGGAAAAAATGGGGACAACAAATTTGGACTCAGGGTTTTAACCCCATTGAGATTAAGAGAAATACTAGCATCATTCTTTCTGTCATTCTTTTTATCACTTTTTGTATTAACTGTTTGATACGTGGACTGCATTCACATGATATATTATTATTTAAATAAAAAATAAGATAATAGAGTCCACTTGTTAAACAATGAATGCAGAAAATGACAAAGAGAATGACAAAAAAAGTGATGCTAACATTTGTTATATGAATACTATTTTGGACCTTCTCTGGTACACCAATATACCAATAGACTAAATTTTTTGTCTGTTAGATCTACATAAAATCACGTAAGAGTAAAAAAAATATACAAATTTAACGGTTAAAAAAACCTGACCTATATGGTGGCGGAATTTGTTAAATCACGTAAGGAGCCCATGCCAAGGGAAAGTGCCACGTGTCAAGCAATCATTGATTATCAACGAAGTCGGCTCTGGTTGGTCAACTACTATATGAATGAGTAGTGTGGCGCCAAACAAAGAAGTTGGTTAAAAAAACCTGACCTATATGGTGGCCGAATTTGTTAAATCACGTAAGGAGCCCATGCCAAGGGAAAGTGCCACGTGTCAAGCAATCATTGATTATCAACGAAGTCGGCTCTGGGTTGGTCAACTACTATATGAATGAGTAGTGTGGCGCCAAACAAAGAAGTTATCTCCTGCGCCAGTTACACTGTATCATTTTAAGGACCTTACAAAAATCAACGAGATCAACGGTCAAGATCTCCTTCTCAATTCCCCCAAATGACGAAAAAAAGAGAAGAAAAAAGAAAAAAAAAAAGACGAGCATTGTACTAGAGTTTGATTTCCGGTCTGAAAATCTACGACTCTCCAGTCAATTTTCTCGACTCGTCTTAAAAATTGGCAAAATATCAGGTAATTTTCAGTTTCATTCAGCTAAAAATCGAAGCTTTTCAATCTTAAGGATAAAATTCTCAGTAGTTTACTATCATAAATCTTTTTTTTTTCTCTGAAAAAAAACCTGAAGAATGTATAATTGGCTTGTTTGGTTGCTGAGAATTTGCGGGAAATGTAAACTCATACTGTATTATTGCTTGCACGAGGTCCTTATTCGAACTACGTTGACTGTGGTACATTCGATTTTATTTTATTTTTAACTGGAAACTAAGAATTCTTCGATTAGTTTAGGAAATTAAGGTTTTGGCATTCATTGATTAGCTTTGTTTGTTTGTTTTTTTTAATCAACGAAGATTTTATATTTAAAGTTATTTTTTTTGTAAACGATTCTATTACCATAATCCAGGTCTGATAATTCTACGATAATTGGAAATGGCTACGGAGGACGCAGAAAAGGAATTTGTGCCGCATAAGAACAAAGCATCCTCCGATGACGAAAAGAGGTTTTTTCTTTCTTAATTTTGTTATTTGTTTTTCTAGGTTTTTCTCAACTGAATAATAAGTGTTTTCTTTTTCTTTTTATTATTATTTTGTGTATGATGAAAAGGAAAAAGAAAATTGTTCCGGGAAGTTTGATGAAAGCTCTAATGCGGCCTGGTGGAGGCGATTCAAGACCATTGGATGGCGATCAGGTTATTCTTTATGCTCAAGGACTTATTATCTTGTGTGTTCAGCTAACAAACATCTTGTCCCGGAAATGCAAGATTGAGAACCGTTTGTTCGCCCCCCAATTAGCGAATAGTTTGTGTTTTGCAGGTTATTTACCATTGCACTGTTCGAACATTGGATGGAGTTGTTGTTGAATCGACGAGATCAGAACATGGAGGTCAGTTGATTTTGCTTTTACTTTTGCACATTTTAACCATCTCTTAGATATCGGTAGACTTTTCCCGTTATTGCATTGATTTGGATTAGAAGCCAGATAGAGAAGATCATATTCTTCAGTTCATTGAATCTATGGAAGTCAAACATGGAGAAGTCAGGGATGGATTGTCAACGAAGAAAAATACGACATATCTGTACATACTAGAGTAAGAGGAGTGAAATTTCAACGATTTTAAAGGTTTATTAATGTGGAAGCTGAATGTGTGTATAGTAAATAAGTCACTCTGTCCCTCTAAGCAGTGTTCCTTTTCTCCGTAGTTTTGAGGCGTAGAATTCTGTCTTACTAACAAAATGATCCTATGGAGCTGTTTGTTTGTTTTCTGTTTAGTATCTTCCTGTGAAGCAATTCTTTTTGCTTGCTCATGAGTTATTACCTCGTTTTTATGCTTAATGAGTAAATTAAACTTTGGGCAAAGTAGAGCCGGAGTATTCTTTTGATTGAAGTAACATGTTATTAGGCAAAGATATTCCAATAAGGCATGTTTTGGGAAAAAGCAAAATGATATTGGGATTGCTTGAAGGGATTCCAACAATGTTGAAGGGCGAAATAGCAATGGTAATGCCTTCCTAGTTTCCTGATTATCTTTCTTCTTCTTATTTATTTATTTATTTTATTTATTATTTTTTTTCTGCTGGTCTACCGAGATACATGTGTGTGACAATAGCATAGGTAACAATTAGATAAACCACATGCATGTACAACAGCATAGTGAAAAGTTAGATAAACTATCCGGCGATGAAACTAAAGCATATTTTTTCTTTTCAATTGACATTTCATTATTGTTGGCAATTTTATATATTGATGTATAAGCTCAATTGAAGAAATAATAAGAAAAGGAAAAGAAGAAAAGTCTGTCAGTAACCAGGAAGTAGAGTTTGATATGTGGTTTATTTTTATTAATAATTTAACTGGGTATGTTATTTTAATGTTTCAGTTCAAGATGAAGCCTCAGCTGCACTATGGCGAGGATGATTGTCCAGTTTCAGTTTCCAGTGAATTTCCGAAGGATGATGAACTTCATTTTGAGATTGAGATGATAGATTTTTTTAAAGCAAAGGCAAGAATGTCAAACTGAGAACTTTACTTTCTGAACCATAAATTTGTACTTGCAAGTTTTATGCCAAATTCTATGTGAATTTCTGTGGTTATCGTGAGAAATTCAGTGTTTTTTAATTGCTTTTATTTATTTAATCCAATCTTATTCAGCGCCATACATTTTTAGAATAGCTGGTTCTTACTTCTTTTGTAGTCTTATAATCTTTCTTTTTGTGTTGAATTCAGGTCATTAGTGATGACATGGGAGTCATAAAGAAGGTACTAAAATGACTGACTGATTTCTGTTGTTTACTACTGAGAGAATCTTATATTTTTCTGAGAGGTTAAATTTCTGAATAAGAAATGTTCTTAAGAGATAACATGTCGTTCTTAGGTCTCTATATATTCTCTCACAGCATTTCATAGACTGGCTTAACTGGATTCTCTCTGGTCTTCTTAATTTTTATGTTGAATAAGGCCATCTTTTTCTTCATCTCTCATTGAGTTCGATCAAGTCTCAAATACAAGTTGACACAAGCGCTTCATTGCTATTGCCTGATATTCAAATTTCATTTTAAGAAGAATATTTAATAAATCAGATATTACCTAATAGGATATAGGAAAAAAATGAAAATTTTTTGTGCATATACCTAAATCGAACCTTATGCCAAAACCAGGAAGCAGCTTATAATATGAAGATTTTGCTACTGGTAATGAATTTTGTGGTAGATACTAGATACTCAATTCTAACTCTTATATATTTTCAATTGAAAATGCAAAGGTCATAGCTGAGGGGCAGGGCTGGGAATCGCCAAGGGAACCTTATGAAGTAAAAGCCTGGTAGGAACCTGTTCTTGCACCTTGATTTTCTCTTGTTCTGGTTTGTGTTTAACTGGAAGCTTTCGGCTAAAAGCTTCTAAGAAAAGTATTTGGCTGTTCTCAGGATTTCTGCAAAGACTGCCAATGGGAAGGTGATCGCCTCACATACTCAAGGAGAACCGTTCTTCTTTACTTTTGGAAAGTCAGAGGTTAGTAGTTAAACGTTTCTTGAAAAAGGAAAAAAAAAAAAAAAAACCAATTTGAAGGGGAAACAAATCTTATGGTTGTTTAATGTGCCTGTTATCTTTTCACTTTCACGATGGATGAAAGACTGCTTTCAGTTTGTATTCATGTTGGTTCAATTCGTCGTTAAATGTATATATTGGAATTAGTGAAACTGGGCATATATTAAATTACGTGTAATCAGCGTTCGTATGCTACTTTCTAGGTACCTAAAGGTCTTGAAATGGGAATTGGTACAATGGCACGGGGAGAGAAGGGAGTCATATATGTGAAGGGTCAGTACTTAACTCAGTCTCCTTTCATGCCTGAAGTAGAAGGCTTGGAAGAAGTGCACTTTGAGGTGGAGCTTGTTCACTTTGTTCAGGTGTGTGAAGTTCTGCTGCAAATTCTTTGTGTGTTGTTCCTCCAATTTAATCCAAGTTTGTAAGATTTATGCTACCGAAACATGATACTTTTTAGCCTCAAAATCTACTCACTTTGCGAATTGTATTTCTTGTTTGCTAGAATCCCTTAATCATTGTCTTGTTGACTCAATTTATTGCTAGAATGCCTTAATCATTGTCTTGTTGACACAATTTAACTTGTTTCAAATTGTGTGGAGTATTTGGTTTCTTGCCTTCCAAAGATTGTAGCCTTGTAGGGTTTGGCGGATGGCTCCAGTTTCAAACTCGGCTCATATCGTGGGCCCGGGGGATCTCTTGATATCAAAAAGAATTGTGTGGAGTATTTGGCATCCTATTGACTTCAAAGTTAGACTAGTCTACAAATTGACATCACAGATGCTACATGAACCAGATTTACCTTAAAACTATAAGCAAATTGAAACAGAAGTTAAGCCTATGTATAACCTTTCTGTTTGTGCTCGTAGGTAATTGCTTGTTAACGCCTGGAACTTGCAAAGAAACCTAGTTTCTAATGAACATTTCATTGCTTCACTTTCATTACTTTGATCTTATATTCTTTATTTCTAAGTTTCTTACGTTTTAGTAATCACAGCTAGTTTTATTTCCCATTCTCATTCTCATGGAACAAAACAAATGAAAAGAAATTGGAAATCTCTGAAGATGTTAGCAACATTGAAACTTTATACATGGTAGGGGCAACACTCTAGGTGCCTCTACAAATTTTCTGGAAATGCATTTCTAGTAGTGATGTTTTGATGTTTATGTTTCTTCGTGTGGTTATCTACTTTCATTATGGATAACTATCTGGGAATGCAAGATCATTATTATCAAAAAATCGAGCTACTAATTGACAGGTGCGGGACATGCTTGGAGATGGCCGTCTAATAAAACGTCGTATTCGTGATGGAAAGGGTAAGGATTCGGAATTTTGTTATAGTCATACAGGTGTTAACTATACAGCCTTGAGTAGGGAACCGTATGCACTTGAATGTTCAATTCAGCTTCTTCTTCAATCCCTGTGTCTTTTCCTAGTGGTTCTTATCTATAAGATCGAATTAGATGGCTCTTTTTTTTTTTTTTTTTTTTTTAAATGTTACATGTTTTCTGTTAAATTTGAATTTTGAAATTTATGTTGAACGACTAGGTGAGTTTCCAATGGATTGCCCTCTCCATGACAGTCTCCTACGTGTTCACTACAAAGGCATGCTTTTAAGTGAAGAAAATAGAGTCTTTTATGATACAAGAATTGATAACAATGGACAACCTTTGGAGTTCAGTTCGGGAGAAGGCCTTGTGAGTTGTTTAGCATCTCAAGATGAAAGTACTTAGGATTACAGTTTTTTTTCCCTTTTGATTTTTATTGGGGAACTTTTTTAAATTAAGATTATTGGATTAAATTAACACTGCCCATTGACGACATTTGCAGACTGCAGGCGGTAAATTTTTGCTGAACTATTTCTCCTATTTTTGTGTTAAATAGCTTACATTTATTCCTTTCTCTAAGACTATTATCTTATGTGGTAGGTACCTGAGGGATTTGAAATGTGTGTTCGTTTGATGCTGCCTGGAGAGGTTGCTCTTGTAACATGTCCTCCAGATTATGCATATGACAAGTTTCCTAGGTTACTTTCCAAAGTCTAGTTTTACAGACAACAATAATCCTTGATTGTGCATACATTGTATTTAGTGATGTATCATGGATAGAATTGTCTTGCCATCTTCATATTTACTCTTCTTCCGGTTTATTCCCAACACTCCAGGCCAACTAATGTTCCTGAAGGAGCTCACATCCAATGGGAGATTGAACTTCTGGGTTTTGAGACGCCAAAGGTAGTTTTCTTGACCATTATGAAATTAAGTTGAAAATTTTGTGTCGTCATCTTCAAAGTTTGTTATCCAATCATGCCAGCTGGAAATTTCTTACTTTGTCAATTGTTTTTCATGTTTGTTTATTCTTGCAAATTTTAGGTGTATTAATTTTTTTTTCATTAATTACTTTCTAGAAAAAGAAAAAGAAACAGAAACAAACTTAGTAATTGTACTTTCAAAAATAAAATACCTGGATCCGAGAGAAATTGTCATCAGTCACATACTTAATGGTGGTCAGACTCTTTTGAGTTCTCATGTTCTCATGTTGTCATGCATTTCTGGTTTCTGTTGTTTTTGCTAATTTTATGCTGGGGTTTGACCATCTACGTGAACTGTTGCCGCACCAATTGAACTCTTTTACAACCTTTACCTGTCTGGATCAAATTCTCTCAAAGCCGTTGTGTATAGATCTTTAATTTCCTTAGATGTTTGGATTGAGATACTGCAAAAATTTTTACGTGATTGTGTAAATTTGTTAATTTCCTTGGATGTTTGAATTCAGAGACAAAAAATTTTGACATGATCGTGAAATTTTGATTTGATTTTTTTGTTCTTGGAAATGTGGATTCAAACTTCCTCTTTCTCCACTCAAATGTTGAGAATGTAATGAAAATTAAAATCCTCATTGCAGGATTGGACTGGTATGAACTTTCAAAGTATAATGGATGACGCAGAGAAGATCAGAAGTACGGTATGCGTTGATAACCTTCAATTAATAATTTGTATATTTACCTATGTACATGTGTGCTGAACCCATGATGTTTTTCCAAATTATCTCTTCCTAGTTGTTCCTCTTTTTATGTGGGGTTATAATCATGGATCTTAGGATGTTATATGTTGATACTCTTTTTGTTTCCAGGGTAACAGGCTCTTCAAAGAAGGTAAATATGAAATTGCAAAGGCAAAGTATGACAAGGTAATGTGTATTTCCACCAACTTATTTTAAGCATATGAGGCTACTGACTATTCCGTTACTGTTTTGTTACATAATTAACATAAATTTGCATTTATCTAAAATGGACATAAACTTTATTGGCTAATACACCGTTGGTTTAAAATGATGTAATAATAGATAGTATGGAATCTTTTAGTTCTCTAGCAACTGAACCCCAGGCAAAAAAGATAAAATAAAATAAAAAAATAAAAAAAAAGTACAGCCATTAACGCCGCGGCGCTATGGTTCAAATTTAAGAAAAAAATAGAGGGTTTTCCCTTAAAAATCCTTAGTTCGAGTTTAAGCAAAACCCTTAGTTCTCATTCTCTCTCACGCCTCCTCTCCTTACTCCGGCCATTCCCTCAAAAAATCCGATCATCATTCTACCAAAATCACTCTTCCACACTTGACTTCTCAACAATCATCAACCTTCTCATCCGGTTCTTCAAGGAGTTTGGTGCAAATTCTTCAAGTTCTCAAAAGTGCTTGGTTTGTTCACAACTAACCACAAGCGTCAATCTCTTCTTGTGCTGATTGAGTTGAAATTGAGTGATTTGAGCAATTTTGGGGAGTTTTGGTGAATTGTTGATGCTAGAACTTTGAGACTTATTTTAATGTGATAGACTCTGCCCCTTTCTTACAAGAACGGAAACAAAAGATTGAACTGAAAAACTTTATTGATTTGAGAACTCAAGAAAGAGTACAAGTAAAGTCCAGTAGTTCGAGAGACTGGACACTCTCCCCTGCTTGGAGACTCTCCAAGACTTGTCCCACACAAATTCTAGTTACTTCCCTCCTTCTCTCAGCTAACTTCATTTTTTTATTTCCCTCAATTCCTCTAACTAACCTCCTAACAACCTAAAGTCCGCAGTAACTAACAACTTCCCCTCCTAACAACCAGAGCCTCCCCCTGTTCACGAAACAAACTATTGCCACCTCACCCAACCCTCTTATTCCTCCTAATGAAAACTTGCATAAGTAAAGGCTTATCATTATGCACATAAAAATATTTGAGGAAAGTCCTGTGAGAGAATTTTGGGTGTGAATTGGACTTCCGGTGATTGTTGGGCTTTGATTTTTGAGGAGTGGTGCTTTGAAAGAATATTTGGTGAGATTTAGAACTTTAAGCAAGTTTTAGGGAGTGTGGTTTTGACAGAGAATTTGGCTTTGTGGCTTGAACGTTTAATTGGTGGTTGTTGCAGAGTGTTGATTGCGTTGTAATGTGTCTGAAGCCACAAGGAATGTCTACTCCGGTTGCTTCTTCTTCTTAATCACAAGTGTTTAATAAGACCAAATTTGTGAGTTTTCAAGCATCAGAGCGATATAAACACTTGGTTGTGGCTAAGACGTGTTCCTGAAAGAGGGTTTGATAACCCCGGAGAGATAATCGAAGGGCAAATCGCAAGAAGAAATTGGCAAGAGTTTACCAAGCAACTGCTACCCGTGTTGTTACAGTGGTGAGAGTTTTATGCCAAGGCCAAAGAACATAAAGACAAGGCCTTTTTTTGAGGAAAGTGGCTATCCTTTGATCATACGACCATCAACAAATATTACAATTTGCCCAAAATATGTTCAAATTTTTTGCGAAAAATTATTGAAATAAAAAATAAATGTTGGACAGCAAAGTAAGTTAAGTTGATCGGTTAATTCAATTAAGAAATGGGCGTTAGCACTCGATTTTGTTGGTAACAAACATCCAACTAAATTCAATTCAATTGTTTACTTATTCAATTTCAGTGAGTGAATTTTCAAGTTCAACCAAAACCCATTAAACCCCATTTTCAAAATAAAGCATCAAGTGGATGAATAAAAATTGTGAGAAAGCCTTTATGGTCATACTCAATACTACAAGGGAGGCCCTAATACCGATGAGGTCATTCATTCTTTGACCAGCTCTCGCGTGCAATGGAAAGTCTGACACGGATGTTATCAACTTTCCCTTATCTGGTTTAGTACATGAAGAAAAGGCATGGCACTGTTTCATATCCGCCAAATTGCTTCCAAGCAACAATGTTTTTGAAGTCACCAAGGAGCATGCCATCCTTAATTATGCTCTTCAAATGGGCTTTACAATAGATGTGGGGAAGATAATTAAGGAATCTATCCTCCATACTCTCTGGGGATCTACAACCGGGGCTCTTGGTCATCCCTTATTGATTTATGCTCCATGTCGCCAAGCAGGTGTTTCAGTGGGAGTTGACGAGGAAATACAACATCCAAAGTCTGCAATCACCAAAAAGAAAATAGAAAAATATCAGTTCAAGGATAACCACCCCACCGCCGCTACTGCTCCACCAGTGCTAGGTACTAGTTCATCTCAAGAACCATCTTGTCCTCCTGCGCTTGGTAGCACCTCAACGGATCTTTTTGGACAAGTTAGTGAGCTGAGGGTTGAGATGTCTCAAATGCAACTATTTGTTCAAGAAAATCAAAGGGTCTGTTGATCGGTGCTTGGATCAGATTCTCACTTTCCAAGACCAGATTGTCACCAGAAAGGATTTGTAGTTTGAATATTTGGCACAGTTTACCACTACTCTAGCGACAATGTATTTGAACTCCGGCCTCAACTTTGGATCCGACGGAGTTGTATTTCCTCAGCCGCTGATTCTACCACCGCACACCATCTAGATTCTATCAACCCGCCTGGTTCCAAATGAGCCCCTCACCGACACCTCCCCACCCCCATGAGAACAATGATGATGCTGGCTTACATCTTTTCAGGGAAGTCCTCTCTGCTTTATCTTGTTTTTAATTTTCCATTGAGGACAATGTCAGTATTAAGTTTGGGGGCATTGTCTTTGCTTTTTTTTTTTTAGGGTTTTGATTTGCTTATTTTATTTCCGTCATTTTGTTTTGTTTTGTTTTAATTAGTTTTCTTTAGTTTGTTTCAAAAAATTTTTTTTAAAAAAAAGTAAAAAAAAATTGTTTTGAGTTTTGTTTTGGTTTGTTTGCTCCTAGCCGATGATGAGACAATGTTTGAACTTAATTGTGGCTTTTTGAAGATGATGAACAATTTGATTGTTTGTGTGCTTCACTTGTTTGTTAGTTTTGATGAGATGAAGCGCTGCAACACTGTGGAAATGAATAGCTAATAAGATTGCCTAATTAATTGTGAATCAGCATGTTTAGGAAAGTCAACTGAATCCCTTCATGGGATAGATAGCTGTACATATGGGCTGTGATGTAGTTATTTTCCTTATTTAGGGCTAGAGGTTGTGTTATATATGTACGTGTGTTTGTACCATTTTTTCAATGAATGAGATTTTCAGATTGTTACAAAATCTGTCATATGGTATCAGAGCCTTAAGCTCAATTTTTTTTTTCTTGGGAAATCCTTTCCTTAGCCTTTGATTGCTGACTTTTGGCCTTTATTGCCATTTTTTCCGGCATACCTTTATTGTCGTCAGCAACTCGTTTCTTTGGCGACCTTCACTGTTGACCGTCACCGCTGCAGCCAAAGCGACTAGGGTTTAGAGCACCTCCTCTGACGCCATTTCTGGGCTCAGTTTCAGTCGCTGTTCATTGTTGTCCCTCGCTGTTTGTCGCTTTTGTCGCTGTCCGTTGTTGTCCATTGTTATCCTTTCCCTGTTCGTGCCTATGTTTTTGCTCAGGCCTGCTATCATTAGCCCGAACCATCTCAATCTCATATCTCCGCCGAGATCCGATCAGTTTGGTCTTCATTGCCAACAACATGCCCTGACAAATTATCAAGCCTTCATCGCCTGAATTGTTGCCTATTAAGCCTGACTTTTTCTGTTGTTATTTGCCTTGGTAGGCTCCATGGCAAAATCATCTGGTGCTTGTTCATGAGCACTCTTAGATAAGTCATCATTCACCCTTGGTTTACATGTCTCGGAAAAGTGTTCTGTCAATTCTTGGATAATCGATTCAGGGGCCACCGACCACATGACTTATTCCTCACAATGTTTTAGGACCTATACTCCATGTCCAAGCAATAGACAAATTGTTGTAGCAAATGGTTTTCTTGCCACAGTTGCAGGTTTAGGTGATATTCAAGTAACACCATCTATTATTCTTAAAGATGTCCTTCATGTTCTTCAGTTGTCGGCTAATCTTGTCTCGATTCAAAAAAGCACAAAATCTGAATTGTCACACTGTTTTCTATCCCTCTTATTGTGTTTTTCAAGATCAAGTTTCAGGGAGGAGGATTGGACTTGCTAAGGAGAAAGGTGGACTTTATTATCTTGAGACACCAATTAATTCAAGGAAAGTCACAAATAATTTGTCTCTGTCTTTTCTCAGCTCTTCAAATAAAGATGCTATCTGGCTTCGCCATTTTCGTCTTGGTCGCCCATCATTTAAAATTTTAAATATCATGTTTCTTGCTTTGTTCAAAGGATTAAATATTACAGATTTTCATTGTGATTTTTGCGAACTTGCAAAACATACCCTTGCATCTTATCTTATTAGTAATAAAAGAAGCTTTCATTCTTTTGATTTGATTCACAATGACATTTGGGGGCCTTCCACAATTCCAAACAATAGTTCGTTTCTCTAATCGATTATTGTCTAATCGGTTACGTGGTTATTCTTGCTCAAAAGCAAATCTGATGTGAGTAGTGTTGTACCTAGTTTCCATTCAATGGTTTAAAATCAATTTGGGGTAAAAATCAAAAGCTTTAGGTCTGACAATGCGAGAGACTATTTTAATCAAATCTTGTCTCCATACTTTCAAAAGGAATTATTCATGAATCCTGTTGCATAAGCACACCCCAACAGAATGGGGTCGTTGAGAGGAGAAATGGGCATTTTCTAAACACTACTCGGGCTTTATTATTTCAAGGGAATGTTTCTAAGTCCTATTGGTGGGAAGCTGTACATACTGCCACCTATATGATTAATAGATTACCCTCAAGAGTGCTAGATTTTAAAACTCCCATGGAAGGCCTTGCAAAATTCTACTCACATGTGAGAATCTCAAATGGCCCAATCCCTAGAATTTTTGGGTGTACTGCCTTTGTTCACGTCCATAGTCAAAACAGAGGGAAATTGGACCCTAGAGCAATTAAGTGTGTGTTTATTGGCTACTCATCCACACAAAAGGGATATAAGTGTTATGATCCTTCCTCGAGAAAGTTTTACATATCCGCTGATGTCACCGTTGCTGGAAACAAGCCATACTTCACACAGTCTTATCTTCATGGGGAGACATTATTAATGGAAGATAAAGACTTTGTCCCTCTTGACATATCCTCATCGTCATCGATTCCTCTTGAAATGCTCTCATCGTCATCAGTTTCTCTTGATCTACCCTCATCATAATCGGTTCCTCCGGTTCCTCTTGATCTGCCCTTATCACCATCCGTTCCTCCGGTACCTCTTGATTTGCCCTCATCACCATCAGTCACATCTCCACCATTTGCTTCTATTTTCGAAAGCCCCTCTCAAAGTGTCATTGTTAAAACACGTTCTGAACCCGTGACTGTTCCTGCTCCCGTGTCTAATCTAGTGTTTGTCCCTATTTATGACTCGTATCGATTTGAAAAGGCGTGCTCAAGAAGAAGAGATGTTCCTAATCCGGCATGAGTCCCAAATTCCAACCTGAGCCATGCTAATGAAAACATAGTAAGTCCTGCTTCTCCTTTGAATTCATTATCTGCTGAATCACACACAAAAGATTTTGATCTGCCTATTGCTATAAGAAAATGTACTAGAGAATGCACAAAAAGGCCTTTATATCCATTGTCCCACTATGTGTCAATCGTTTTTCACCATCCCATAGGAACTATATTGTGAATCTAAGCACTATCTTTGTTCCTAACACTTTATCTAAGGCATTGACTAAAAGTGAATGGAGTAATGCTATGAGAGAAAACAAGACATGGGAGATTGTTGATCGACCAAAAGGAAAGAACCTGGTGGGTTGCAAATGGGTCTTCACTTTAAAATACAAAGCTGATGGATCTCTTGAGAGATGTAAGGCGAGGCTAGTTGCTAAGGGCTATACTCAAACTTATGGGGTTGATGATTAGGAGATGTTCGCTCCCGTGGCTAAAATGAACACAGTAAGATTTTATTGTCATTAGCTACTCATTACAACTAGGAATTGCAACAGTATGATGTAAAGAACGCCTTCTTACACGGAGACCTAGAGGAAGAAATATACATGAGTATTCCACTGGGCTTTGAAGGAAAAAGAGACTGCCAACAAAGTGTGTAGACTTAGAAAGGCTCTATACGGACTCAAGCAATCCCCTAGAGCCTGGTTTGGGAGATTTGCTAGAGTGATGAATAACAATGGTTATAGACAGAGTCAAGGAGATCACACACTCTTTATCAAACACTCTGACTTGGGGGGAGTTGCAGCTCTTTTAGTATATGTTGATGACATAATTGTTACTGGAAATGATGAGAAGGAGAAACAAGCCTTGAAGAAGCGCCTAATCAGGGAATTCGAGATAAAAGAACTTGGAAGACTGAAATATTTCCTTGGGATTGAAGTTACATACTCAAGACAGTGCATCTTTATATCGTAGCAAAAGTATGTGACTGATCTTCTGAAGGAAGCAGGAAAACTGGGTTGCAAACTAGCAATCACTCCCATTGATGCGAATCATAAACTCGGAGAAGCAAAAGAAGATCCAGCTGTAGATAGAGGGATGTACCAGAGTTTGGTAGGGAAGCTCATTTATCTTGCCTATACTCGTCCAGACATAGCATATTCAATAAGTGTGATCAGCCAGTTCATGCATGATCCGAGGGAAGCACATTTGCAAGTTGCACACCGAATACACTACTTGAAGGGTAGCCCAAGAAAAGGAGTTTTGTTCAAAAGAAATGCTTGTCTAACACTAGAAGCCTAAATGAATGCAGATTATGCAGGGTTATTGGTAGACAAAAGATCCACTTCTGGCTACTGCACATTCCTTGGAGGCAATCTGGTAACATGGAGGAGTAAAAAGCAAAATGTGGTAGCCAGGTCCAATGCAGAATCATAAGTTAGAGCAATGGCACAAGGAGTTTGTGAATTATTGTGGATGAAGATTATCCTGGACGACCTAAGAATCAAGTGGGAAGGACCTATGAAGTTGTATTGTGACAATAAGTCAGTAACTAACATCGCCCACAATCCAATTCAACACGTTAGAACAAAGCACGTTGAGATAGACAGACATTTCATCAAGGAGAAGCTGTAATGTGGATTAATCTGCACACCATATGTATCCGCGGGAAATCAATCGGCAGATGTTTTAACAAAAAGACTCAATAGTACTATTTTCATGGGATTATTTCCAAGCTGGGAATGGAAGACATCTATTCTCCAACTTGAGGGGGAGTGTGGAAATGAACAACTAATAAGATTGTCTGATTAGTTGTAAATCAGTATGTTTAGGAAAGTCATCTGAATCCCTTTTATCATGGGACATATAGCTGTACATATGGGCTGTAGTTATTTTCCTTACTTAGTGCTAGAGGTTGTGTTATATATGTACGTGGGTTTGTACCATTTTTTCAATGAATGAGATTCAGGTTATTCCAAAATCTGCCAAAACACTATACACCCAGCGCCTAAGCCTGCATCTACTGCCAAAAACGCTGATGTTGTTCTTGTTGGGCGCTGCATTTCCCATTTGTGGGGCCTAAGCGCTGGTGCACTTTCTCTTAACACCTCCAAGCTAGGAATCGAAGTTGCAATGCTCTTAATTTTTCAAATCCAAATCTTCCCCTCCAAAATATTACCAAACGTTCCAATTTACCGACTTTCCAAAGTTTCATCTAAACTAAAAACAAAACACGAAAACACATAAAATTCACAAAATTCCCGAGAACCAACTAAATATCAAGTCTAAATGATCCTTAATTCGTGACTAAAACTCACTCATCAGAAACCTATTGTTTTTGTACCACTTAACTTCTTTGGCATTTATTTTGAGTAATACTGTGAGGTTTTTGCTGTACAGGTGCTTCGGGAATTCAATCATGTTAATCCACAGGATGATGAGGAAGGGAAAGTATTTGTAGACACACGTGTAGGTGTTTGTTTTACTATGGTCCTCATTCCGAAACTTCTTTGGTTCATCTTCACTGACTACATTGACCTATTTGATATTTATTTTCTCTTGATTTTGAATGTTTGAAGAATTTGTTAAATTTGAATGTGGCTGCCTGCTATCTGAAGATGGGTGAATGCAGAAAATCAATTGAGACATGCAACAAGGTATTTCTTGCGTCTCCTAATCTCATGCATGCTTCCTCTCTTACCAAGCCATTAAGTCTGAGAAGTACTTTTACGTTCGGTTATTTTACTTGTAGCTTCAAGCTATACTGGTAAACTAAATGATCATACAAGATTATATTAGAAGCAAAAGGAACCAGCTCGGTTCTCTGAAAGCATTTTTTCCCCATATGTTGATTATAGGGCCACTTATAAACTGCTTTAATTTGAATTGTTAACATTGAAAAGGAATGCTCCATTTTCTTTCTTCTTTCATTGGTGCTGAGCAAGGATGGTATGATTAAAAGGTTTAAAAAGAATGTCACTTATAGTTGACCTCCAATATTTGTGGTTAACAATTGATAAAGAAGTCGAATAATCTTGGCTAAAATCCGTTTAAAAATAATTAAAGAGCATAATCTCGGCTAAAATCTGTTTAAAAAGAATTAAAGCTCTTTCGCTTTTGTAAGTTGCATGGACCTTGTTTCTGAACGATTAATAGATCAAGATTGATTTAACAGTGCGTGGGTTGCTTTGGTTAATGCTTTTGACTTTTGCTCACGTTTGTTGAAATAGGTCTTAGATGCAAACCCTGCACATGTCAAGGCTCTATACCGCCGTGGTATGGCCTATATGGCAGCCGGAGATTTCAAGGAAGCAAAGATTGATTTCCAAATGGTAGTTCTTCATACTATTGTTAATTTGTCATGATTTCGAGACTTTATTCTTGATGTTTCTTAATTGCTTTTGAATATCTTTTAGATGATAAAAGTAGACAAGTCATCAGAACCTAATGCAAAAGCCGCTCTTCTAAAGCTGATACAAAAGGAGCAGGTGATTTTATCATTCTCTTGGTAATTCCACATGTAGTGGAGATTCCATGCATCACAAATACATAAATTCAACGTCCGTTTCTCGCCTTTTGTTAAACAGGAAGTTGAGAGGAAAGCTCGAAAACAGTTCAAGGGACTATTTGACAAGAAGCCAGGGGAAATTTCAGATGTTGGAACAGAAGATGGAGGTCGGACTAAAGCTAAAGAACAGCAGGATGAACAGGTTGATTCAGATAGCAATAATTCCGAGGAAACTCATGAAGCTGCAAATAATCCACGTCAAGAGAGTTGGTTCTCCACACTCTGGCCTTCTGGGAGAAGACTATTTTCGGCTCTGGGCCTGCAAAAATGTACCATTTTGTAATTATTATTAGAAAAAAATATCATGAACGTTATCTATTTGTTGTTGGATTCAGCGTCATTCCAATCCGTTATCTATTGGTTTAGTTAAAATTATGCTCCACAGCGCTACATGGTTCATGCAAAATACAGAGTAAATTACTTTCTCTACCCGAATAAAAGCTGACAAGGCATTATTAGTTGAAGTCAAAAGGAGAAAAAACGATGCCCTTATTTGAGCTAGATTCACAATTTCTATTAGATAATCTTTTTAAGAATGTTGTTTCTCTTTTCTTTTTGAAAATTCTATGACAAATGTGTATACCATCAATGAGGCTCTATTTTTAACTATGAGGTGTGCGTCATATTGTTATTTTTTGCATGCTTTTTTCATTTTATTATTATTTTTTTCATCTGTCATTTAGAAACATGTACTACATAAAATGCTTATTTCTTGCTCCTTTCTTATTTGGTAGAACTGTTCTGTCCTTTTTCCTTATAGTATGAACTATTGTTTTAGCAATTGTATTACTCTTTTAATGGTCTAATGTTAAAAATTTAGAGCGCACAACATAAAACTATTTTCAATCATGGATCATAATGTTAAAAAATTAATCCAACGTTAATAATTGTTCTTGCCAATAGGGAAAAAAAGACAATTCTTACAGTAAAAATTTATTTTATTTTATTTTATAGGAAAGAAGGGATTATGAAGACTTTTAAATCAATCAATTTACGGGTGGAAATCATTCCAAGAAGTAGGATCGTCATCTAGAACCAAAATTGCATTAAAAGGAGAGAGAAATCGTATTGATGTGCCCTGAGCCTGAATCTTGTCATTTGCAATTTAAACTTTTCATTCAGCATTTAAGACCTTAAATATAATAATCTGACAATATAGTACAAACAATAACAAATATCAATTTTATACTGCAATTAGGGTCTTAAATGCTACAACTTAAATGTTCATGATCCAACTTGTCGATCAATAAAATGTTTCCTGGTGCATTTTGTGCAAAATTTTTGGGTATTTTGTCGACTAATTGATTTTAGTTAGTTATTAGATAATAACTGCTATGGACTTTAAATTTAGAATCCTTGTCAAAATTAAAAGCTTGGTGCTAATTTGTCAAACAGCCTAGTCTGCCCGTTAAAAGAGAAAAAAAAAAAAAACAAAAACAAAAAAAACTCATTTCAAATTCCTGCTATGCCATAAAAGATTTCCAACTTCTCAGTTGTACTTGTGGAGCAATACAATAGAAGAAACCTAACGTGATGCAAATTTCATGCAAGATTATAAACGTCTAAAAGAATCTCCAAGACTTGTCCTCTTCAACCCCAACTCAATCTGTCTCTCATAACTACTCTCTGTACATGAACATTTTGCCACCCTGCATCGATGCGAGAGCCATCGCGCCGGGTCTTCTGGCTCAGATCCATGTCATAGCAAATGGGTTCGATTCAAATGTTAATTAAACACAAAACTTTGGATATTTTACGCCAAAGTTGGCCTAACAATTTGTGCGCAGACAAATAGTCATTAACATATTATTATATTTTAAACTGCTAGCTTGTCATTAATTAAAATAAAAAACAAAACAAAAAACAGCCATTATCATCATAAATAAAGGAAAATGTGCAAAAGACCTATTAATTTAAAGTTTTTGTTGTCCTTGTGCTGGCTACTTTCAGCTCTGAGACCAATCTACTAATCTAGCAACTACAACCAAAACTGCAGCCATTCATTAACAATTTTATTTAAATTTCCCTTGTTTCCGAAAAAAGACAAGAATATGTGCTTTCATTCCATTAAAACTCTATATAAATCAAATGCCACTGGGAGTAATCGTGTCAAGAAAAAATTCACATGCCGTATATGTCATAACTTAATCTTGTATGAACAAAATTTTTGCGCGAGCAGATACTCTTCGAAACCGTACCAATTCAATCAGCATATCCAGTCGCCCATCCTTACCATAGACACGAGGAGGAGTGATACTCATCCTCTCTAGTACAGGCGATCTATATAGCAAGAACTTGATGAATTCCATTTCATGGCACACTGGACATTCCTCTTATGTTCACATGTTTGAGCTTTTTGAATGCGCATTTTGAACGGCCTTCTTTCCTCCACACATCCAACTCGGGTGCTTCCATCACAACCAAATACTCCGAGCATCCCTACTCATCAAATACAAAGTTTGAGCACCAATAACCAATGGAAGTTAAAAGAATCAAAATTGGAATGTTGACAATAACTTACTGAGATCTGAAGTTGCTCTAGATTAGGAGAGGTCGTAATCAAGCGAAGAACGGCATATATCTCTTTTATATCTTTAAAACTCACTTGATTTAGTTGAATAACCTTTAAATGGTAAAATGTAATTGCAATTTTTCCCATATCATAACCTATACTCAAACACTTAAAAAAAAAAAAAAAGGGGATATTAAGCATTAATCTTGCTAATGAGTACCCACAAATCGAGCTAAAAAAAAAAAAAAACTGGCAAAAGGTTATCAACTTCATAAACATGACTATCAAAGAATTTTACCTTTGTAAAGTCCGCCCACCCGATAAGGCTCTCAAGACGAGGTACCTCACCGAGAAACTTATCAAGTATCCAACTTGAACTTTGTTCAAAGAGCTCAACAATGTCTTCAGGTGCATATATAGCAACAGATATTGCAGCCAAAAGCGAAGTATTCTCATGATTTATGTCCCTGCTCTCGCCATCAAGATCCAAGGACTTGAGATTCAGCGCTCTAATGTATAGTGCTAAGCCATCAGCATAAGAGTATAACAAAGATAGATTTGTTGAAACTAAAACAATGAACCAATGGAGAATTTAAGTGTCTACAAGTGGGTTACCTCGTGGAAGTCCGTCGGAACGTCACCGGAAAACGTCCATGACCGGCCGGAATCATTGAGAACCTGCAAAACAAAAGGAAGTAAAGGGGAAGAGGAGCTCTTGAGCTCCACCCTATCTCTCCCTCACTGCCCCTTTCACGTTTGTTGCACACACCCACACAAGCACAAGTAAACTTTTTATAAAACAAATAAGGGTGCTATCTATATAAACCAAATAGGCCTAAGGGCTTTAACCAATATTCATTCAGAGAGGGTTTTGATCTAATGGGTTGACTAAATATTATGAGATTGAGAGAATTTATATGCCTTAAGCGAGTTAATAAAATAAATTTTCATCCCAATATGGACCAATATTTGACATACATGCATTCATTAATTCACATTAACACAGTTGTCTATAAGATGTTTTAATTAATTACAGAGTGAATTATTATGATTATGGAAGTCCACGTAAAAATATTCCAACAGTCTCCAACTTAGACGACATAATCATACAACAAATATTCACTCATTACAACATAATCATCAACTAAGAATCTCACCTAATAACCACAAACCCAAAACAATCATGCCTAAGGACGTATCGACAGGATACCATCATTATACATAATCAGGTGCTAGAGATTTATCAAAGTATGGCGATAACTTAACATATGAATCGAAAACTACCAAATGACTCATTTTTCCCTGTCACATTATCAACCAAAAATGTGTGTCAACACAATATCACATACAAAGTGACAAGATCCATAAATACGCATGTATTATTTGAGGCATAAGCAATTCTTATCAATAACAACATGTCACAAACAAATGGCAGTAAACTATCACTAACACAATACAACTACAGGCTCCTTACAGTCTCGAGTAGGATACGTGTTCTTAAAACACCTAATAGGTAAGCCCTTAGTAGAACTGCCAACATGTTTATAGTCGTGTTTTCAATAACAATGAGCCTTTTTACAATTTCTCTTTACAAAATAGAACACACTATCATTATGCTTGAGCGGATAATGCTCCTGGTATTCTAAGAGAAATATAGTATTATGGAACTTTCACAACACAGTTTCAACTGGTCCAGAAATGGAGTGAACTAATCCTAATGTTGAAATAAGGTTCCACAATCACATCACACAAATAGCCTCACGATACACCACATACTCCGCACCACAGTCAAGGACGCTACAAGTCTCTATTTGACACTTTTCAACAAAGTAGCTCATCCTTTTATCATTTATGCAGCCTACATAATCGGCATCACGAGATTCAACTACAAAAAAAGTGTTGGTTCGCCAATACACAACTATTTGGTACTTCATTCTCAGTTAATTCAGTAATAATAACAACAATCACTCAAGTACCGAATCTGCACGTCAACAACAAACACAATAATAAGACGTGTGCATACTTGAGCATACATCAGGCTGCTAAACACGTAAGCATAAGGGACAATTTTATCTGATCTCTCTTACTTCATCATAAGGACATTACACCTTTGAGAGTTTGTCACTTTAACAAACAATGCTTAGTAGGAGAACAAGAATGCATACTGAACCTATTCGAAACAAGAATAATATAGGTTCTCTGACTAGAAAATGCACTTATCATTGTTACGGAGAATCTACATGCCTAGAACATAAGAGGCTTTTTCAAGATTCTCAAACCAAAGTAACTAGGCGACATGCTATTCGTCTTAACCAGCAGGTCAGAATCATTAAGCGCGAGCAAGTTGTCACCGACATAAAAAAACAGAAACATGCAACTGCTCCTACTGACCTTACACATATTCATTTATCAACAACGTTCTCCATAAAGCTAATTTTAGTGACTGTCTCATCCTAAAATTGAGACACTACTACCTCAGTGTTATCCATACACTCCCACTCATCATAGAGTTTCTCAATACATTAGTGGAGCTAGGAAATACATCCACTCTCAAGGCTATGTCCATTTCATCATTAACAGATTCATAAAGAGATTCATACCATATATAATGACTTATCCCATTTAACGTCAAGATAGCGGAGATGCAAGGATTGCTCAGGGTTAAAGAAAACGACAGGGGCAACCAACAATAGACATGTAAAACAAGATCATGCAATTTGCCTTTTACTTAGCCTTCCCAATGATCCAAGCCAATATGATCATTGTGTGCTAGAGTCCGTTGAGCAAGAATAGAACTCTTTCGCAGGTAAGGACAATTCATCAAACAACACAACCACATGCATTAATCCACCACCGATAGAGTAGTAAAGATTATGCAGTTCATGACATCCAACAAACTTCCTTCACCAGTCTAAGTATCCTACCAAACAATTAATTATCGACAGGATAAGTTAATTGCTCGTATGGATCTTAACAATATGGTAAATACATACTTTTATCCATAACACTCTAATTTATTATTTGACTATGACATGAGTTTAGTGATTATGCACGTCCACACATAATCATTCACAATA